TCTCCTCCATCTCCGCCAGCCGCCGCCGCCTCTCCTCCTCCGTCATTTTCTGCCGCCCCTGCCACCCACCCCCCGGCCTATTCTGGCTGCCACTGCCAAGGCCCTCCTCTCTCCTGCCTGCGCCTGCCACAACACCAGACTCCAGGGGGGCAGCAGCAGCAGCAGCGGGTGACGGTGCACGGGCAAGGGGTGCAGGTGGGGCGGTGCGAGGAGGGGAGGGGGCCATGCGGTGGAAGGAGAGGCCGTAGAGAGGCGCTGCTCTGCGCCCCTCCCCATCGCTGCCATCTGACAGGCTGTCATGCCTCTGCCTTGTGCCTCCCAAAGGGCTGTCATGCCTCTGCCTTGTGCCTCCCAAAGGGCTGTCATGCCTCTGCCGCGTGCCTCCTGTCCTCGCCACCAGATCTCCACTCCTCTCCCCACCCTCCTGTGCTGTGTGCGCTGCTCTCCTGCCACTGCCACCCCTGCCACCCGCACCCCCACGCTCACCCGCACCATCACTCTCCCCCTCACTCCCTGAAGGGCTGTCATGCCTCTGCCTCGCGCCTCTCACCACCTCTGCTGCCTCACCTCTCCTTCCTCCCTCCCTCCCATCTCTCCCTCCCTCAACATACCTCGTTTTCCCTTCCTCTATCTCCTGTGCAAGTGCTGCTTCTCGTCCCGCCTTCACTCTTCTCCCTTGCTCTTCCCATCGCCCCCCTCTTCCCACTGGCTCAATCACATCCTTATCCTTCCCCCTCCTGCCATACCTCTCTCTCTCGTCCCCACCTCCCCTCTCACTCCTCTCCCTGCCATACCTCTCCCTCTCATCCCCTCCTGCCCTCTCGCTCCTCTCCCTCACATACCTCTCTTTCTCACTCCTACCCTGAGCATCCCTCTCCCTCTCACCTCTCCCATCCCTCTCACCTCTCCCATCCCTCTCACCTCTCCCTTCCCTCTCACCTCTCCCTCCCCTCTCACTCCTCTCCTCCCCATCCCTCCTCCCACCGCCACCAGCCCTCAGCTCCTCCCTCACTCGCCTTTCCCCTTCTCCACCCACCCCTCTCGCACGCTCCATCCTCCCCTCCTCATAATCCCTGCCACGCCTCCCCTCCCTGCCACCCCCATCACTCCTCCCCACACTCCCTTCAAACCTTCCCTCCCTGCCACCAGCCTCCCTGCTCCCTCTCTCACCTTCCCAACCATGCCTCCTCCCCCCCTCACCTGCATCATCCCCTCTACTACCCACATCCAGCTCGTTCCCCCTGCCACGCTTCTCCATCCCGCCCTGCCCCATCCCGCCCTGCCCCATCCCACCCTGCCCTGTCCCTCCCTCCCTTTTCCCTTCCCCTCCCCCTCTGCCCCCACCACGCCTTTCCTCCCCCCTCTCCTCGCTCCCACTGCCATCGCTGTCGCTGCCACTGCTGCTGCTCTCACTCTCGCTCTCGCTCTGCTTCCTCCGCTTCTTCCTCTCCCTCCTCGCCCGCCGCTCCTCCTTGCGTTTCCGCTTCCTCTCCTTCTTCTCCCTCTTCCTCTCCTTCTTGCTTTGTGTCTTGCCCTTAACCGCCTCAGCCTGTGAAAGAACCAACGAGACAAGTCAAGTCAAAGAGAGTGGGAAATGAGCATGCAAGTCCATCCCATCCAAGCACACCAAGGACTGATTTCCCCTGCCTTCCCTATCCCTTCACATTTCCCATTTCATCTGCTTGCTCCCTATCTGCATCCTACCTGTTGTGTGGCCCTCGCTACCCTCCCCAACCTCTCCATTCTCCCCACCCTCCCCACCACCCTCTCATTTCCCCCCCCCTTCTCCCTTCTCCCCTCACCTGAGCGCGGATCATCTGCATCTTAACCGGGTTGCTGCGGATGCAAGTCAGAGCCTCGTGCTCGCGCTGTCTGCCACACTGCCTGCCTGCCTGCCTGCCTGCCTGCCTGCCTGCCTGCCTGCCTGCCTGCCTGCCTGCCTGCCTGCCTGCCTGCCTGCCTGCCTGCCTGCCTGCCTGCCTGCCTGCCTGCCTGCCTGCCTGCCTGCCTGCTTGCCTGCCTGCCTGCCTGCCTGCCTTCCGTCTCCCCCCCCCTTTCCCCCTCCCCCTCCGCCTCACCTGAGCGCGGATCATCTGCATATTGACGGGGTTGTTGCGGATGCAAGCCAGTGCCTCCTGCTCGCGCTGCCTGTTGTGCCACCTGCTGTGCTGCCTGGCTGCTCCCATCACAACTCCGCATCACCCTTCCCCACCCCTCCCCCCCTCCCCCTCACCTGAGCGCGGATCATCTGCATCTTAACGGGGTTGTTCTTGATGTGAGTCAACGCCTCCTGCTCACGCTGGCGGATGAGCACGAGAGGGTCCGAGTGCAACCGCCGCCACATCTCGTTTGCACTCACCACTGGCGGCCCCTCGCCCTGCTCCCCATCCGCTTCGAACAGAGAGCCGGGGACAGTGGACGCCTGCAGTGCGGGAGGAGGGGGGGAGGGGAAAGACGGGGAGGAGGGGAGAAGAAAGAAAGGGGGGAAGATTAGAGGGAAGAGAAGAGAGGGGAAAGGGGGGGGGGGGGGAGGGGAGCATGAGTGGATGCGTAGGGAGGGACGAGTGGGGGCATGTGGGGCGCACCTTGGAGATGGGCGGGGGGACGCCTGTGTGCGCGGAAGCGGAGAAGTCCACCTTCTGCGACATGAGCTCGTCCGTCGACGCCCCTCCCATGCCGCCCATGCCCCCTCCCTCCATGCCCTTGCCGGTCGACAGCCCTGACTCATACAGAAAGTCCACCCGCTGTTGAAGCCTGTGCGCCGGGCGGGCGGGGAGGGCGGGTTTGAGGGAGAGGTGGGATATGCGAGGCCAAGGGTCTTTTTAAGAGACGAGCCGGGGCGAGCGGCGTGAGGCCCGACGGCCCGTCGCATCGTGCCACGCTACAAATATTACTTCCTCGACGGAAGGGAAAATAGAGTAGTTTGCAGAGAAATACAATGTAGAAAATAAAAAAATCTGCGGGCACTTACGGGACGAGCCCCGCCTGCTCGCGCAGGCGCTGGAACTCCTCCGCCTCGCGCTCTTCCGCGATCTGCTTGCGCAGCTCGTCCACCTTCTTGCGCTCGTCCGCCTCCCGCTGCTCCGCCTTCCACACCTTCTCCACGTTGCGCAGACTCCCCGTGTGCCACCCCTTCTTGTTCAAGAACTTGAGCGCCATCGCGGCTGAGTCAAGGTGGATAGAGGAACAGTACGCGGTGCGGTAGAGTTACGGTGGCACGCGGGTCGCGGCGCGGGTTGGATACGAGGCGTGTGATCAAGACGGAGAGCAGGTCTGCCAGAAAGAGGTGCAGGTGCTGGAAGGAGTTTGCGTGGGGAGGGTTGGCTAGTGAGTCAGGGACTCGCTAAAGAGCTGCTATGTTTGATAGACGGAAGAGACTTAGTCAGTAATTACTCCCTAACAACATGATAGTTACTGGTAGTTCATCCTAACAACATGATAGTTTTAGTCAGTAATTACTCCCTAACAACATGATAGTTACTGGTTTTTCATCCTATCTAATCATCACTGTAGACCACAGCATCCTCCAGACTATTTTCTCCCAACTGGATAGAGAAATAAGCGAATTCACAATTATTATGTTACGAAAAATTAGCATAACTGATTCCATAAATTTAAAGCTTATATAACCTCCGAAATAGTTATATTTTCCAGAAAACCATATGGGCACTTATCTGTTGTTGAAATACAGGTCTGAAGAATGACATATGAGTAAGAAATGATGTAAGAACGGTATCCAAAAGCATGCAGTGTGCTGCAGCATCACTTGTACGCATGAGTAAACAGTTCGCGAAAAAATATCGTCTCTTTGCTGGGAAGCCGACCAGCCAAACTAATGTTTCGCGGGAATATCTGAGGCCGCCATGGCTCCTGTGGCGGCAGTAGCGACAATGGCTGACGATCTGGAACCTCAGTCGCTCAAGAAGCTAGTCCTCCGATCGCTGAAGCGCACTTACGAGTTCTTCGATTCGCAACAGAAGCTCGATGGATTTGTTCGCGACCCAACCAGGTCTGACTGATTCCCTCGCCCGTCACCATCGCTGGCTGCGCTGCGCTCTAATCATCTCCGCTGCGCTTCCTCACGTTTTCTGTCGCCCGCTGAAACTCATTTTCAATTCTCGATCTCTCTCGTTCGTTTTGCACCATGACCGAGTTGATTCAGTCTGTCCCTTTTATCGCCCTTCTGTGTCCATCGACGTCCTTCTTCGCTCGGCTGGTCTTCCGACAAATCCCAGCCGTGCAATTCGACAAGCAGTGAAGGTGAGCTCGCACACCTCCGCTCGGCGCGCAATCAGCCACCAACCGCCTCGCTTTCTGCACTCAATCAGGGCTTTCCCTGCTCATTCTCGCTACTCACTAACTCGCGACGCTTCACAGCGTAACGCGCCTGTTTTGTTTTGTTTTGTTTTGTTTTTAATTATTATTATTCCTGAATTCTCATAGCACCCTGTCTGTCTGCAGTTAGCCAGTCCCTGCTCAACCTTACTTCACCCTAATCCATCGCGTCAAACACCGCATTCACCCAAACCCTAATTTCCGTCTCGCCTCGCACCCGCGCAGATCCGCGACGAGTACCTCGTCGTGCGCGATCTCCCCCCGCCGCTGCCCGCGGGGCGAGTCAGCAAGGACTCCGCGCAGCCCGCGGGCGCGGGCGCGCCAGCGGCGGGGGGCGCAGGCGCGGGCGGAAGCCTGCCGTCGCTGGCGGCGGTGGTGGAGCAGGCGGCGGCACAGCCGCAAGTGGGGCTCTCAGGGCCTCCCGCGGCCCCCTCCGCGCCTGGTAAGCCGTTGCCCCCTTTCGCCGCGCCATCATCACGCCTCACTACCCCTTTGATCGTTTTCCCATACCGCCGCTGCCCAGCGCGTGTCTCCAATCTCTCCCCCTGCCCCTCCATCCCACCATGAGGCCAGCATCGCACTCGGCCACGTGAATTAAGAGCTCAACCTCCTCTGCTCAACCCACATGTGTGCACCAGACGCATTATCAAGGGCTCTCCTCTCTCATGTTCCGCACCACTCCTATTCTCCTCTCCTTGTCCCTCTCCCCGCGCATGACAGGGAGTGCAGGCAGCAGTGCCGCAGGTGGCCTTGCACCTGGTGCCTCCAATGCTCTTGTCCTCGCCTCCAGGTCAGCTGGTTACCAGGTTACCTCGTAACAGGGTTACCACCGTGCTTACCACAATTCCACAGTTAGCACGTGTGGTAACCAAGAGTCACACGCACGGTGCTCGTGAGTTCTGGCTGCGCTCCATTCTCATGGTTCACGTGCAGTGCAGCATGACAAGCCCGTAACCACGTGGTTGGTCCACGTGTTCACATCCTGGGCTCATTGGTCAAGGGAAACTCTAGTCTAGCTTTGCCCTTGCGCTTGCCCATCCACACCTTGTCTTCCCGTACTCAACTCCCTTCGACCATGTGCGGTGAACGCCCACCAGTTTCCCCGTTTCCTCCTCACCCCCCCCAAGGCCCCCCCTCCCCCCTTCTCTCCCCTGTGCCGCACTCTCACCTCTGAGTTTCTGCTTCCGGCCCCATCCATCCCTCTGTCTCCCCATCCCATCATGCCTCCCATCGTAATCCCCCCCAGTTCCACAGGCCAGGGGGGCATGGTGCCGCTCACGGCGCCTGGCGCTGCTGCTGCGGCTGCTCCCTCCAATGCCGTCACCGTCGCAGACAGGTGCGGGTGGCGTCACAGGCACTCGTAGTGTTGTCCTGATGCGGGCGTTCATGATGGCATTCTGCTGCGCCTCCCTCCACCCCTTTATCTCTATATATATTTTCAATGTCATTCTTCTTTCTGAGTCCCCCGGAACTTTCGTGTCTCACAGGCTTGTCCGGGATGTTTTTCTGATCTCTTAACCCACCTCATTTGTGTCTTTTCCTTTTTTTCCTCACACCTTTAGTCCTCCATCAAACCCCACTTCTTTCTACCCCACCCTCTCCCTCCCGATCTACCTTCCACTCCTTTCTTCCCCTTCACCCCCCCACCATCACCAGGTACAAGCCCAGTGCAGCCATCATTCGTCGTCTGCCCAGCAAGTGGCCCAAGCCCGAGTGGCACCCGCCCTGGAAGAACTATCGGGTCAGTGCAACCCAACCCACCGCCACTCAACCCTACCCAACCCAACCCAACTACGCCTTGGGCTTGTTATTACTTTGATCAACTGGGTCTTGACAGTTGGGTATTTTATGTGTAGAAGTTCCCTTCGTTCATATACGTTCTTTCCTACTTACCGTCGTTCGCTTGCCTTTGACCGGGCCTTCTCCATATTCCTGCTCACGGGTTTATTTCTGATTCTTAAGCTCAAAGTTCAAAATCCTCCTCATGTCCAAAGTTCAAAGAAACGGGTTTATTTCTGATTTTTCACTGTTAAAAACGTTACCTCATAAGGCGGCTGTTTAGAATGGTAAATTACGGCCTTCCCTGCCTGTCCTTCGCATCTCCCTACCAAGGTGGAAAATTGCGCTGAGCGAAATTTTCGAGCCGAAATTTTCGATCGAAATTTTCGGCCGTTTTTGTAATATTTCGGCGAAATTTTAATGGACCTAAAAAAAAAAAAAAAGACGGATCCGCCCTAGATTTGATGGCGAAATGCCAGATCCGCCCTAGATCTGATGGCGAAATGCCAGATCCGCCCTAGATCTGATGGCGAAATGCCAGATCCGCCCTAGATCTGATGGCGAAATGCCAAATCCGCCCTAGATCTGATGGCGAAATGCCAAATCCGCCCTAGATCTGATGGCGAAATGCCACATCCGCCTAGATCTGGTGGCAAAATGCCATTAGAATGTCCACCCATGAAATTTTATCCGATTTTCTCATTTTTTTCCTGAAAATTTCGGACGAAATTTTCCACCAAATATTTTTTTGGAAGGGGGACCGAAATTATGGAAATTTTCGGTCGAAAATTTCGATAGCGAAATTTTCGCCCAAAATATGAAAAATTCGGCGACATTTTGCACCCTGCTCCCTACCTACCCCACCCCCCCTTTCCTCCCTAATCGCCCCGACAGGTGATCAGTGGGCACATGGGGTGGGTGCGCTCGGTGGCCTTTGAGCCGGGCAACGAGTGGTTCTGCACTGGCTCTGCTGATCGCACCATCAAGGTAGGCTAGTGTGGGCCCGGTGTGTGTCTGTCAGCTTGCGCGTTGCGCCGTGTGTGTGTGCATGAGGGCACATGGGGTGGGTGGGTGCGCTCAGTGACATTTGAGCTGGGCAACGAGTGGTTCTGCACTGGCTCTGCTGATCGCACCATCATGGTGGGCTCAACTGGGTGTCGCTGGTCGCAAGGGAATGGGTCAAAACAGCATTTTCAGACTGGGTTTGTGCCAACTGTTTCTGACATGAAGCGAAGCCAACCCCCCTGGTAATATAATTCAGCCTTCAGGTACTCCCTGCCACTGCATTCACACACCCCTCCTCTTACTACCACCGCCCTCTCCCCCCCCTCCCTTTCCTTCCCCTGGGCAACATCTTGCACAGATTTGGGAGCTGGCAACAGGCAAGCTGAAGCTGACTCTCACAGGCCACATTGAGCAGATCCGAGGTGAGGAGTGGTGAGGACGGGTGAGGTGAGGTGAGGTGAGGTGAGGTGAGCGGAGTCGCGGCGAGTTGGGGAGGTATGCAGAGAGGTGAGCGTGTGTTTTGGTCGGCTCTCAAAACAAGCTGAAGGTGACTCTCACAGGGCACATTGAGCAGATCCGAGGTGAGGAGGGGTGAGGCGAGGTGAGGAGGGGTGAGGGGGGGGGGATGAGAAGAGGTGAGGGTGTGCGTTGGCCGGCTGTCTCTCACAGGGGTTGTTGAGCAGATCCAAGGTGAGGGGGGATGCGGTGAGGCGAGTGGAGGTGGGGCGAGATCAGGAGGGGTGCGGAGAGGGGACGAGGGGTTGATGTGTTTTCTATTGGCAAAGAAACGTGCTGATTGAGGCAAGGAGTCTGGCTCTCACAGGGCTCATTGAGGAGATTCTGCGTGCTGATGCTGATGGGCTTGCGTGCGGCTGCTAATTTTTTGAGATGTCTCAGAAGCACTTTTCTTTCGCGTGCTGATGGGCTTGCGTGCGGCTGCTAATTCATGTTGGCACTGTGCAGCGCACATCTGGGCAAGTCAAAACCTTCCCACTCCCTTCTTTTGCGTCCCCGTACTCAGCACACCTTGCCTCACACCTGCTCACAAGCCTTTCGTCCTCTCTTTCTCTTCGTCCACCCCTCCCCCTCTCCTCCACCAGGCCTGGCAGTGAGTCCCAAGTACCCCTACATGTTCTCAGCGGGTGATGACAAACTCGTCAAGTGCTGGGACCTCGAGTACAACAAGGTTCGTCACTCGCTGCTGCTGCTGCTGCCCCTCATGCCCAGCACACACACATGCCTTGCACTGCACACAACAAGCTCGTCAAGTGCTGGGACCTCGTACCTGTGCACACGCACGCCTGCCTGCCTGCAATCAGGTTGTGCAATGATGACATCTGCACTCCCCTCTTTGGGTGATCTCCTTCACACTGTGCCATCTTATGCAATCCTTTCTGACTTTTGTGATCTTTCTTCCTCTGCCACGTGGCGGCAGGTGATTCGCTCGTACCACGGGCATCTGAGTGGAGTATACTGCCTTGCGCTGCACCCCATGCTGGACGTGCTTCTCACGGGCGGCAGAGACTCCGTCTGTCGGGTCAGTCAGTGGGGCTGGGATGCAGTGGGATGCGTTGCTGTGCGGTTGAATGTGGTGGATGTGGTAGTGATAAGGTTGGGTGGCGTGTACTGCCTTGCGCTGCACCCCATGCTCGACATGCTTCTCACCGGTGGCCGGGACTCTGTTTTCCGGATCAGTCATTGGGTTGGGATGTGGTGGAATGCGGTGGAATCTGGGGGGGGGCTATGGGAGGCTGGTAGGGAGTGTAGGTGGCTGTGGGGAGCTTTGGGAGGCTGTGGGATGCGGTGGAATGTGGTGGAATTTGGCACTGGTGGTGATTGTGGTTTGTTTGTGATGATATGGGGTGGACGATGGGGGGAGAACACGAACAAGCTCACCCCAATGCACCACTCACTCTCCTCTGCACTCTCTTGAACCTCCTCCTTCCCCCCCCGACGTGATTATGCTTATGCCATGACATTCCATTCCATGCCGTGCCGTACCATGCCATGCGATATATATCCATGCCATGCCCCTGCTTGCCATACCTTTTGTGCCTTGCCTAATCTGTGCCACGCCCGTGCCTTTGTGCCATGCCATGTGTATCCACGTGTCTACCCTGTGCATGGGGCATGAATGCAACGGGTGTGGGATGTGCGCACCAACCAAGGCGCAGATCTTTGCTGGCCAATGCCATGCCGCATGCATGCACGCATTTACCCCTGTGTCTGTGCGCACCTGTACCCCACCCACCCCACCCCACCGCTCTGTTCTGTACTTGGGCATGGATGCAACAGGTGTGGGACGTGCGCACCAAGGCGCAGATCTTTGCTCTCGCCGGCCACGACAACACCGTCTGCTCCGTCATCGCGCAGGCCACTGTGAGTACCCTGCCCTGCACTGTTGTGCCTTGCCCAGAATGTCATGCCATGCCTGCTATGCACTGCATGTCAGGCCACCGTCAGTGCCCTGCCCTGCACTTCCCTGCTGTGCTGTGCTGTGCTGTGCTGTGCTCTGCTGTTACGTGTCATCCCATGCGTGCAATGCACTGTGGGTATGCATGGCATGGCATGGCACGGCATGGCATGGCATGGCATGGCATGGCATGGCACGGCACGGCATGGCATGGCATGGCATGGCATGGCACGGCATGGCATGGCATGGCATCAAGATAACACCGTCTGCTCCGTCATCGCACAGGCTGCCATCAGATGCTGTGCTGTGCCATATGGGGATGGGCGTGCACATCCCTGGGTATGCAGGGACGTGGGCATGAATGTACTGAGCACACATGGGCGCCGGATCCCACAACCTTTCCCACCCCCTTTTCCCACCCACCCAACTTCCCCACCGCCCGTCCCCACCTGTCTTCCCGTGTGTGCCACCTGCACCCATCAGGACCCGCAAGTGATAACAGGATCGCACGACACCACCGTCAAGTTGTGGGACCTTGCAGCGGGTGAGTGCAATGCCTCGCTCCGGTATTGTGCAACTTTGCATTCTGCCACTGGCCGTTTTGCGCATGCATGTGGGCAAGTTTGAGATGGGCACAGTGGTGATGGGCGGCGGATGGAAAAGTCCAAGTGCGTGCATATCTTGGTTGTGCGCCCCCACATGGCACCAGGCAAGGCCATGTCAACCCTAACCTATCACAAGAAGTCTGTCAGAGCCCTCGCCAAGCACCCCTTTGAGTACGCCCTCCTTTCCCGCTTTGGCTTCCCAGTGCTCGTCGTGTCCTGCCCTGCAATTTGCAATTTCTCAACACGTGCAATCCGCAATGAGTTGAACGGATGGACTCCTGCTGGGTGCATCAGTTCATCTCTTCAACCCTCCGCCCTTTGGCACCTCACACCACTACCTCTGCTCTTCACCATGCTCCTGCACCTGATGATTCTGCCACACTCGCTTTCATCCTCCCCTGCCCTCACCTCCCCTCCCCTCCCCTCCCCTCCCCTCCCCTCCCCTCCCCCCCCACTCCTCTCCCTTCCCATCCCCTCCCCTCCCCTCCCCTCCCCTCCCCTCCCCTCCCCTCCCCCCCACTCCTCTCCCTTCCCATCCCCTCCCCTCCCCTCCCCTCCCCTCCCCTCCCCTCCCCTCCCCTCCCCTCCCCTCCCCTCCCCTCCACTCTTCTCCCTTCCCATCCCCTCCCCTCCCCTTCCCTCCCTCGCCTCGCTCACGCCTGCCCATCCCTGGCTGCCCCCAATCGCCCATCCCCCCTGGCAGGAAGACGTTTGTGTCGGCATCAGCGGACAACATAAAGAAGTACAAACTGCCCAAGGGCGAGTTCCTGCACAACATGCTGTGAGGCCCTCTCTGCCCGCCCGCCCTTCTCTTGTTGTTAGTTCATTCCTTGTGTGCACATGCCATGCCTTTGCGCTGAAGTACAAACTGCCCAAGGGCGAGTTCCTGCACAACATGCTGTGAGGCGCTCAATTCCCCCCCTCCGCCTCCCTTCAGCTGGACATCATGCTATGTTTTTGTGGCATCCTCTTGAGCATCATGATTTTTTGCGGTTACGGTAACTGCTTAAGAGCAAGTTTATGCTCCATATGCGCTGTTACACAAACTGGTTAACGTCTTACCCCATCATTCTGAAGCATCGTCTGCCCTTCTCCCCTGCCCCCCCCATTCCCCCCTGTGCATCACTCTCCACCACTGTTTTCCACACGCCACCCCACCCATCTGCATCGTTCTCCACCGCAGCTCACAGCAGCGCACCATCATCAACACCGCAGATGTGAACGAGGACAACGTGCTCGCCTCAGGAGGTCCTTCCCTCTGCCCTTCCACCCTTCCGCTTTTCTTGTCTCGTTTCCCAGCTGAAATCTCTCTCACACTCGTGTGCTCTTGCTGCTCTTTCTTTCTTTCCCTCCTATTATCGTCAATTCTCCGTACTTTCCCGCATGCGTGTGTCTACATTGACTTACTGGCCCGACTTGAAAGCTGTCGCTTCCCCCCCATCTCGTGCGGTGACATCTGGCATCATTCCCCATCATCCCCATCCACATGCGGCCATTCGCTGTGCAGGTGATAACGGGTCCATCTGGTTCTGGGACTGGAAGAGTGGACACAACTTTCAGCAGACGCAGACCATCGTGCAGCCCGGTGCGTCACTCTCCCTCTGTGCTCTATGTGCTCAAAACATGGACTTAAACTCTCTCTTGCCGGTGGTTTCTCCTGTTCCTTCTGTTCCTTTGGACCGCTCTTTCAACTCTACCACACAAGTGCTCTTCACGCATTCGACCTGCCCTTTCCCTCTTGCTCCTACTCCTCCCTCCGTCCGCTTCTCCTGCCTCCACAGGCTCGCTTGACAGTGAGGCAGGCATCTATGCGATGGGCTTTGACGTGACGGGCAAGCGCCTGGTGACATGTGAGGCGGATAAAACCATCAAGATGTGGAAGGAGGACGAAAATGCCACTCCAGAGACGCATCCTATCAATTTCCGGCCGCCCAAAGACATGCGACGCTTTTGAAACGAATGGTGCATGCGCACCGCACATGATTTGGGTGGAAGTTCCCATGTATCCATGGCCATTTGGATGTAGACAAAAGAATGTAATCCATTCGTCTGATCCGTTTAGAGCTGTTGTGTTGTGAGATCCCAATCGCATGGTGTGGCGTTTTTACTGGCACACACCTTCAATTCAATTCAGTTTGATGCAGTGTAACCTTAGTGTCTTCAGTGCTTGCAGTTTGTAGAAAAAGCCAACAATGTAAAAGCTAAAGTTTTACAGCGTGCAGTCTGACAATGTGCACATTCGAATTGCGAAATTTGTTCTGTAACAAGTTGGGGAATGATCATACTGGGGCCTCGGATTAGCAGAAAGATGGCCAACTTGGGGCCTCGTGATTCGCGACCCTACGAAGGGGGCCCGAAGCCACCCACAAGCCTAGGCAGATAGGCCGAGCTTGCCACGTCACCACCTGCTGGCTTGGGCTTGACGGTTTTCGCTAGCACCCTGGTTCACGGGAGCAGTGATCGTCAGCCCATTCACAATGGGCAGTACAGATTCTTCAGCGAAATAACCCAGAAATAAACATTTTAGCCCAAAAATATTATCGGAGTGGTAAGAAAATAAAACCCAACTGGATGGCATAAAATTGGGGAGGCATCAACCCTAAAAACACGCGACAATGTGTTTAGGGTTGATGCCTTCCTGACCGGATGTATGCCCGTATGGGGTTTATATTTTTTGCCAGCTTGTCCATTCAGAAATCCGTCACGTCGTGTGGTCAGGTCTGACGGAGCGCGTGGGTGAGGCCCGAAATTGGTTAGAGACAGGTCCGGACCAGGTTCGAAACATCGAGACACACGAGGTCCCAAGTCGGCTCTATTCCTAGAACTTCGGGGCCCCAATCTGATCATTTCCCTGATCATTCGCGCACGCAACAGAGGGGTGATTCTGCAGAGTAGCGTGCCATGCAGTCACACGTGTCTCGCCCCGAGAGGGGACCACCTGACGTCATCGCCGGATCGAGGGGAACGTTATTACACAGCTGGCGGGCGTTTCCACGGAGGGGGAGGGGAGGGGGGGATGGGTCCCGGTCCCGCTTCTCGTGTGCTGCACGAGGCGACGCGTCGGGAAACAAAAAAAAACGCGACAATATATATTCCAGAAATCCGGCGAACCGGTGGTTCCGCTAGGACGAGGCGGGTTTATTCCGTCATGCAGATGATGTTGCCCGATGACCCGTTCTGTTGGATGCGGCAATTGGCGTTGGGGAATTCAATGGGCGAGCCGTCAACGAACCCCTCTGCCCCGGACGACGGACCCCAGGATCGGCCGATGCTGCCGCGTGGTTGTGTCATGCGCAGACCCCCCCTTGTTTTCGATGCGACCCTTGAGGTTGGCTGACGTTACACAACGACGGCGTGTCACCGTGCTGTAAGAGGCCTGCTGGTAACCACTAGGTGCGTCTGACCACCTCGAGGTTACGCGTGCTGTCCAGCCTGCTCATGCTCGGAGTCCGACTTACTGAACCGTGCAGCACCTTTTCGGACCGTTACAGCTCTTGCAAATCCAGGCACTCGACGCTGATGCGTCAAACCCTATTGTATCAGTTGACCAATCAGGGCATGGATGGTCGCATTACAGGAACAGTTCGTCATAGTTTGTTATTTTGAAACATGGTAGCTTAGGCTCTGACTCGCAGCAAGCACGGCATATCCAGGAGAAGAGCAGATCCAGGAGAAGAGCAGTCCATCCGGGCCCTGGTGGGTTGGTTCCCACCAGGGCCCCCTCCTGGTGGAAACGGGTTCCCACCAGGGCCGCACGCGGATGCAAGGGCTGTCGCGACCCCCACCTGGGAATCGCCACGCTAGAGGGAGTGCTCCGCCCCCTCCCAGGTCCCTAGCGAGATCCGGGCGGCGGAGCAAGCTGGCGGGGTGGTCTCACGCCGAGCCTGGGCCATGCCAGCGCCACGCAGCGTGGTCCCAACCCCGGGCCCCCCCCGGGCCCATCCCTGGCTCGCGAAACCCCTCGCTCTCCAATCCGAGGGTGAGGGCCGAACCCCAGCGCGCCGAGACGGATCCGGCCAATCGGAGCCGTTTCCGACTGGTCTGTCCCTCGGAAGAACCCTCGCGAAGCATTTCGCATGCAAATCCGCGCGTGCGAATGGCAATTCGGCTGGCCGAAACGGATTCGGCCAATGGGAGCCGATTTCGGAGCGACGGGCGAAGCCATCTCCGTGCTGCCCGAAATGGAGTCGGCCAATCGCCGTCGTTTACGAGCGTCAGAATGCTCGCAAGACCCTCGCGAACAATCGTTCGCGGAAAGCATGCTGAGATTACATTTACGGAGCGGAGTGTACGCCATTCAAAAGATCAAACGAAAAGATCAAACGAAATAAATCTCTCTAATGCATCGGGGAAACATTCAGTTGCGAGTTTACGTGTCATATAACGGAGTGTAGTGTTAATTCGGGTGACCCGAATTGGTGTACCCGATCGTTGCCTCGGACCTCGGCGGTCGCGACGAGGAAAATTCTCTCTCCGCGGGAATTGGCAGCTCGCTCCGAACGGGGCTCACGGATGGTGTGCAACGTGGCGGACGTTGGCTGCACAAGCGTGCATGTTGCGGAACCTCCCCGCTGGGTGAGAGGCCCGTGCAGTTTGACCGCAAGTGCCGTCTCTTGATTCCCTCTCGGCCAACTCTTAGGTTCTCGGTACGGGCACCTGGTGCTCATTTTCGTTCTCCGTCTTCACATCTTGTTTTCTTCCTGCTCACCCATTCCACGTAGAGGTCCTCATCGCCTAGTGCTAGCAGAGACTCTGCTTGGCCGCGTTCGCGCTTGGTAGAGTCTAGCGTAGCTCTTATTTTCTGCCGCAAGCACAGTTTCGCGTACCGTTCGTCCTAGATACACGCGAGCACTGTTTCGCGTACAGTTCGTCCTAGATACACGCGAGCACTGTTTCGCGTACCTTTCGTCCTAGATACACCGTACCTTTGGTCGCGCTCTTGCGGTCGTACCAGTAATGAACCGCGAAATGAAGGCGCTTAGAGCTGGGTCGAAGGAGGCCGCCTCCTGTCCGGCCATCATCTCTGTTGCGGGAGCCACAGTGGACCTCCCCCCCGAACAGTGGAAGCTGCTCGCTGAGGATAAGCATCCTCTCACGGCCCGTCTGTTCGACTTTGTCACCGGGTGAGATCCATGCGTTCCATTCCCTCACTCCAATATGCACGTGTTGTTTATGGTCGCGGTGTTTAGGCTGTTCGCGACATGTCAGCGATAGTTACTAGTGGGCAGTGCAGGCCGCGACATACCTCCGCTGTGCTTTTAGGTCGCGTTGTTTATGGTTGAGCTTTTCCCCGCCGTGTTTTACACCGTCCCGCACAGCGTGATTGTCCGGAGGTATCTGGAGAAGGAGGTGCATGAGCACGTCCGAATCGTGACGAGCGGTGTTGTCGCGGACATAGTCGCGGGTCGCGATGAAGCGGTCCAAGCCTTTGCCGGTTTGATGGAGTGCAGCCTGGTGGTTTTCTAGCATCTGGTCCGAGTGAGTTTTCATTGGGAGTGTTCACTTGTACAGGGAATGCACTCGTTTACGTGGTTTAACGCAGTCGTCAATGGCACGTTCAGGGACTTGTTCGACAAGAAGAGCTCAAACGCGAGCATGCTCATTCTGCTTCACCCCGACCACCTGTCGCTTGACAGTGACGAGACGTGGAACACGCGGTTTGTTCGCGTTGCTATTCCCATTGGTGGTGCGGAACACGTCACCGCGGCTGATGCGATTGTGGAGTGAGTACCGTGTACTGGTTTATCATCAGTACCACGTTCATTTCCGCTCCGAGGCTCATGTCGCTAACCGTGCGTTCGCGTGGATATGTATGTGCTTTTGGGCAGGTGGTTTCAGGGTCGCGTCGATGAGGATTTTGCGCGCGGCTCCATTCAGTGCACCCGCTCCCGCCAGCTTAAGGATCCCGAGCGTCTGTTGGATCTGGTACGTCTGTCTTGTGTACGTGTTCTCGATGACCGCTAATAGTTGCAGTGGTGCTAACAAACCCCATGTAATGTTTTCCAGGACGCGACGTCATTGAAGGGCTCCTACGGCAATATCGCTTGTCTGTTCGCGTTCGACAAGATCCTTGCCCAGTTGGACGCGGTCGCTGCCAATGGATCCGGGCCGCAATTCTCGAGGCCAACTGCGAAGACTCTGAATGCACTGCGGCATGAGGCGCACCAAACCGCCGAAGAGCTCGCGTTCAACTTGAGCGTGGATTTGACGCGACCCAAGCATGGCGGTGAGGTGAAGGTGCTGAAACGGGGAAGGTGCAGAAAGTAGCTACGGGTGCGCAGGTTGCTGACCATGGTGTTCTCGCTCTCACAGGTGCCGCTGGTGTTTCGAACCGCGGAGGTGCTCGGGGGGGGACGGTGGTCCATGCTGATGACGAAGGGGCCGAAGATACCGCGACTAAGGGTGCAACCCGCGATGAGGCTGACCGCGCTGTTGCGCGTGAGGGGGAGGAGTCGAGCGAGGAGGAGGCTCACGTGGTAGCGGCCGCGGCATCTAGCAGGCCCTCTACATCCGGCAAGAGCATCAAGCACCTCGCGCAGCACTTGGCCCCCGGTGCTGGAAGCGCGGGCCCGAGTGGTGAGGTCGCGGGCAAGAGTCCCCTGACAGGTCCGCGTGATCACGCGTCCCTTTCCTCGTTGCCATCGCATAAGCTTGCTGCCGAGATCCTGCAGCTCGAATGCAAGCTTGCAGCGCTGGCCGAAGAGAACGCATGGCTGAAGAAACGCCAGGAGTCGGGGGTTGGTGGGGTCGCGGCCGTGGGCTCTGAGGAGCTTGCGTCCGCGCTTGCTAATGCGGTTCGGGTGTTGGAGAAGGAGGCGAGGGCGATCGCGCAGGAAAGAGCGGCCCTGGTCGATACGCGTAACCAGGAGGCGTTGGTGCTGGGGCGAGTGGACGTGAGGCTGGGACAGCTGCACGGGGTGGTGACAGACTCCATGGAAGCCGCTCAGAAGAAGTTGACGGACAAGGTTGCGCGGAAGATCGACAACATGTCGACCGCGGTCTCCGCGACAGCAATGCGGGCAATCACCACCAGCGGGGTCACGAACGCGATGCACACCCTCATTGCGCTCGTTGGAGGAGCCCCCCCGCCGCGCACGGATAATGAAGGAACGACTGCGACGGAGATTGCCGAGCCCAGGGATGCAGAGCATGGAAAGCGGGCAGCGGGTGCGAAGGCGGAGAATCAACGGGGGGCGAAGAGGCAGAGAGGTCCCCAGGCAGCGGCCGCAGTGCGCAATCCGAGCGTGCAGGACATGCTGAAGCAGAAGTGGGGCGCTGTATCGCGAGGTGCAGCACCGTCTGGTTAACCGGGTTCGAGCTCGCGCTCCATCCCACCTGGAGAAGCTGCACCCGAACCACCGGGCCCTGCCGGGGCAACCGCGACAGTGACAAGTACTGTGGGTCGGGGCAAGGGTAAGGCGGAGGATGGAGAGGCGCCGGCTGCTGCGGGTTCGCTGGCCTCGAGGTGTGAGGTCCAGTCCGCAGCGGCTGCTGCGGCAGAGGGCAGGCAGACCACGCTCGCACCCGCTCGTGCTGCAATCACCGCGGGAAATCTGCATAGCGCACTGGCATCTGCAAGTCCTATCGCGGCCTCAGTCGAGGTCAAGGCGGAGAAACGCGGACGGGGTGGCAAGAAGTTGCCCACTCCACCCGTGTACACGATCGACAAGGACGATGCGGATGAAGAGCTGGAGGGTCTCGTGAGCAGGTGGGTCGAGGCGGGCGACGGAGGAGAGCAGGGTGGGGAGGCCGCGGTCGATGTTTATAGCGGCGGAGAGAGCGCGGACGAGCAAGACGGAGACCCCGTGATCGTGGAAGGTGGCACAACGGGAGGACATGGTGACACCAGCCCCAAGCGCAAGGGCTGCGGCATCCGCGCTCCACCCAGGGGCGGGCCCAGATTGGTTTCTGAACCCCATATGGGGGGGAAGAAGCGATGGCTCGGACACGGCGACCGCGAAGACCTGCAGTACAAGACCGCGATCGCGATGTATCCCTACGACGGGAAGGTCGACCCCGGGCTGAACCTGAGCCAGCAGCAGATCCGAGAATGGGCCGCGGACCTGTCCATCGCTAAGGGGTTACATACGGGCCTCTTAATCACCATGCACTACCGCAACCTCGTGGCAAGCAAGGACAGGTGAGTTGTGCCAATCCACCATCATCTAGTGCGTTCATACGGTTTGGTATGTTATCATGTTCTGGCCGCTCCAACCCAGTGCGTGGCAGGTGGCAACGCATGTTTGATTCCTATCGCGGGCTAACCAAGCCCGGAATGCACACCACCAACGTGATTGCATGGGCCGCGGTGGTAGGAAAGAAGGCTGCAGCAGAAGAAGCGGATCTCGGCGATGTGGAGCCGACGGACTACGCGGGAGCGATCGCATGCGCCATTGCAATGGTGTGGGAGGTCACTCGCGGCTCTAACGTCACTGCCGCAACGGATAATGGAAACCTGGCCGCGCGTGCTGCTGGTTGCTATGGAGAGCGAAGCCGTCTCTTCCCCGTAGTATCCGCGTACGTCATCAATGTGGGAAGATGAGCCACAGGTTGTTGCGGACCCGAAGGCGGTCGCCGCCGCGATCGTGTCCGGAGTCGTGAACGAGGTCGTTGCAAAGTCTCGCGATCTCAGGCACATTGAGTTGGCCGCCCGCGAAACGGTGGACGTTATCATCACCTGGTGCGACTGCTCAGTGGCAGGGAAGCAGATGGAGTCCTTGGGTTTGTACCGTGCCCTGCCCAAGGATCGTCTGAAGAAGCGGACTTGAGTGCGTGTAGTATCGCGTAGCATGTGCACAGCCTGTTGTCAGAATGTTATCTTTGTTCTCTAGCCTGCAGTGGGGTACTCTATAGCGAGTACAACCCCTTAGGGTTTCCTATATGTATCTTGCTGCTTGCTAGTGCAATCCTCTCTTCTTTCTTCTAAACTTTGACATGCTATCAGAGCAGGTCGATCCCCCTTGGATCGATCCTGTGGGTGGGCTTACCACCTCCTTGCTTCCGCTGCAACTACTACCACTACACTCGGTGCCGCACGCCCAGTGGCGTGTGGCAGTTTTTCTTCCCGCCGTGCGCCCCGAGGCACGCGGCGGTTTTCTTCCCGCAGTGCGCCCCGAGGCGCGCGGCGGTTTTCTGCCTGCCGTGCACCCCGAGGCGCGCGGCGGTTCTCTGCCCGCTGTGCGCCCCGAGGCGCGCGGCGGGCTTCGGCCCCGTCGACCGGCGCGTCGCCCTCGGGAGGCGCCGCGACAGGCGACGGGGACCCGTTCGTCGCCCCCCGTCGCCCGTCCTGGCCTGAGCGCGGCCCATACAGGCAGCGCGCGGCCCGTACGGGCTACGCCTGGCCTGCGCGCGGCCCGTACAGGCAGCGCGCGGCCCGTACGGGCGGCGCCAGGCCCGCGCGCGGCTCGGGCCGCCTGCCCGCGGCTCGGGCGACCCTACCAGGCTCGTGGTGGGCCCGTTCCTTGCTGCCCCTACCCTCCCTGCTGTCCCCAGTGCTTCTACTTGTGCCCCACCCCTCTTACTCCCCATTCTCCTGCATTAGGGTTTGGGGGTGCGGGGTATGGGGGTGCACCCACTATGTACTGCTCCCTGCTCCTCCTCCTCCTCCGTCTCCCTGTGCTGCAGCTGCCGCTGAGGGGGGGTGGACTTGTTGGAGCCGGTGGAGTGGTACTAAGGGGGGGTGAAGGGGGAGTGGAGCTAGGGGTGTAGCAGCGGGTGTGTGTCAGGGGGAGTGGAGCTAGGGGTGTAGCAGCGGGTGTGTGTCAGGGGGAGTGGGATCGTTTGGGGAAGCTGAATGGAGGTTGCCGTCATGTCGCCAGCAACACCTGTATTCCGGGGAGTTGCTCCGGTAGCCCAGTCGTAGCCAGCTGTGCCAGTCGCCCGTGGGTCCGTTGCTCGTCTGCCGCTACTTTAGCCGCGGGGCCTGTTACTCCTGTATTCCGGGGACTTTGTCCGGTAGCCGCTGTGCCAGTCTGCCTCCTGTTGCCCGTGTGTCTGCAGCTTCAGCCGTCGCCTCCTATCTCCTCTCCTCTCACTCTCCCTCCTCCTCCTCGCTTGCCCGTTGTGACTACCACTAGCTTTGCTTATAATTGTGAACTCTAAACTATTGCTTCTTGAACTTGTGCTCAGAATGTGTGGTGACATTGTGATCCACCCTGAGCTTGTACTGCTTTGCCTGCTCTACCGATTACACCCCACTTTGGCTATGGGGGTGTGTCAGAATGTTATCTTATGCTCTAGCCTGTAGTGGGGTGCTCTATAGCGAGTACAACCCTTCTAGGGTTTGCTATTTGTATCCTCATTCTTGCTAGTGCAAACCCTCTTCTTTCTTCTAAACTTTCACACGACCTTCTTCGGATCATGGAAGCCCTTGTTACGAGCAGCGAAGAGTATTTTTTAGAATTCTCAAAAATACGCTGCAACATTTTGAGAATTCTCAAAAATACTCCGCAATTGTACCTGGGAGAGGCTCTCATGTGTGGGCTTTAGAAGCCGTTTGAAAATGACCTTCCTCGGATCGTGAAAGCCCTTGTTACGAGCAGCAATGAGTGGGTTGCTTTTGTGGAAGGCATGCTGACGCGATTCCCCCCATCAGCAGAGGAGGACTTGGCGGCAAAGGAGGTATTGGCAGCGGAGCAGGCCGTAGCAGTAGAGGAGGCAACAGCAGAGGATGGCTCAACAACAGAGGATGAGTTTGGAGGAGCACAGGATGCAGCTGGCTCAGGCACTGTGGAGTCGGCAACTGGTTCCCCTAGCTGGCAGGTCCATCTGCAAGAATTCTGCAAGGAGTTGGAGCGGCTGATTAGGGGCCTTCAGGAGGGGTAGCAGGTAGCCGCTGAAATCTGGCGCCAGCTGCACGAAGCCGAGATGTTGCTGAATGAGTGGCGATTTCTTGATGTTTGTCGCGTCAAGGACGGGAGGACCCAAGCAGTGTTTGTTTGTAATGGCATTAAACGCTCTCTCGGAACATGGTATGATCACTCAGAGCAGTCATTTGTTGCGGCCAAGAAGGCAATACTGTGCGCTGAGTTCATCTTTGAGTGGAGGGATTAGATAGCAGGGGCTGGGGGGACGGAACTGCTGAGTGGGTGGAGGAAGCAGTATGAGGAGTTCCTTGGAAAGGATCTGTTGGGCAAGCTGCAGGAGGTTACGGAGGAGCAGGCACGGCTGGCCATCGAAGCACACGACTGGGCTCGATTTATAGAGGAGAATGAGAAGGCTGGCAAGGGGGAAGCTATCAAGGAGACATGGCGCAGTGTGCTGGACATTAAGCTGCTTCGAATGGTTCGGCAGAAGAAGAAGAGGAGGAGGAACGACGAGGAGGGAGGAGGAGGAGGAGGAGGAGTGGGAGGAGCAGGGGGCGGAGCAGGGGGAGGGGAAGCAGGGAGAAGGGGAGGAGCATGGGTACGGGCACGGGGAGGAGCAGGAGGAGCAGCAGTGCGAGGAGGAGGAGGAGGAGGAGGAGGAGGAGGAGGAGGAGGAGGAGGAGGAGGAGGAGGAGGAGGAGGAGGAGGAGGAGGAGGAGGAGGAGGAGGAGGATGAGGATGAGGAGGAGGAGGAGGAGGAGGAGGAGGAGGAGGAGGAGGAGGAGGAGGAGGAGGAGGAGGAGGAGGAGGAGGAGGAGGAGGAGGAGGAGGAGCGAGGAGGATTAGGAGGATTGCAGCAGCGGAATTGGGATTTAAGGGGGTGACGTTACGAGGAGCATGAGAGGATGGGGCCCTTCTCTCCTCATTAGGGACAGCAAGGGAAGGTGCGGATGGAAGCCCTTTCGAGCAATAGCAACCATGCTGCTGACTGCTCAGAAATGCCACCGAAAGTATTCAGTGCCTTCTGAATCCTCCTCTTTCGGCGAGTCTGTGGTTTGCGCCACCAACAAAGGTTGTCGGAACTGGAAGAGAGGGCTGTCGTATTGAGAGTACGAGAGCCTGGAAGGGGAGTGGAAAGGAGTAGTGGAGCTGGATAGCAGAGGAGCGGAGGATCAGGGGAGAGGAGCATTGGAGAGGGGACACGAAGAGGAGCAGGGGAGAGGGGCAGGGGAGAAAGAGGGGGGGGGGGGGGGGGGGGAGGGGCGGGGGAGAGCGGCGGGGGAGGGGGAGAGGGGCGAGGGAGAGGGGCAGGGGAGGGGGAGAGGGGCGAGGGAGAGGGAGAAGGGCAGGGGAGGGGGAGAGGGGCAAGGGAGAGGTAGAGGGGCCAAGGGTTACGGAAGAGCAGGCACTGTCGGCAATCAAAACACACACTTGGGGTCGATTCATTGGGGGGTTTGAGAGAAATTGCAATGTGGAAACCCACTATGCTGGACAGTCAGCTGATTGAAGAGGTTCCGAGGAGAACGACGAGGAGGGATGAGGTTTGTAATAGAACAAAAGGTACAAGGATCACAACCTAGCAAGAGTAAACATGCAGGTATATTTATAAAGAGATCACAGTACAAACAGACTCAAGAAGTAAGCAAGTGAGGTCCAGTAGGCACAAGGCCTAGAAGAGTGCAAAAGCGCTGATGGTCACAAGGCTGAAGCGCCTTGGTGAACACATCAGTAGTGTTGGCCTCAGAGGCCACGTAACGCAGGCGAAGCTGACCACGCTGCTGCAGCTCTCGAGCAAGGAAGTACCGCAGAGCAATGTGCTTCGTTCTGTGCTCCAGTCTGTGCTCCTCACACAAGGCAATGGCTGCCATGTTGTTGACGTACAGCACTGGAGGAGAACGAGGCTGCTCTCCAAGGTCGGTCAGCAAGTAGGTGAGCCAGCGTAGCTCCTGGGCCGCCATGGCTGTGGCGTAGATCTCAGCCTCACAACTGGAGCTGAGAACAGAAGAAGAGCGAGTAGAATGCCAAGAAACTGAACCAGAGCCAAGACTGAAGGAGTAGCCCTAAGACGACCGCTGAGTAGCCTGGTCGTCTGCCCAAGAAGCGTCTGAGTGCCCAGTGAGAACAACTGGGACTCGCCCTCCAAGCACTAGCCCCATGCCTGACGTACTACACAAGTAGCGCAACACCCTCTTAGCTGCATCCATGTGCTCCTTCCCGTGACGGCCGGGAGCGACATAGCGTGCAAGAATGCTGAGAGGGTATGCAAGGTCAGGTCGAGTGCAGGTCATCAGGTACATGAGGCAACCCACAAGCTCTGGACACAGGCCACTCGACTCTACGGACTCATCCGAAGGCAGAGCTGAGAGCGAGTGACCGATGGGCAGAGGAGTGGGCTGAGGCGAGGAGTACGTGAAGCGGAAGTGCTGAAGGACCTGTTGCACCATGTGTGACTGAGTCAAGGTGATGGTGCGGCGTGCTCTGTCCCGGGTGATCCGCAAGCCAAGATAGCTTGTCAGTTCACCCAGGTCTGTGCACGTGTGTCTCTTCTGCAACTCCGACTTCACGTGGGCGAGTGCCACAGTGTCAGCAGTAGCAAAGACCAAGTCGTCGACGTACACAAGGACGTAGAACGGCGGCAGTGAGGTGTCGGTGCGTAGAAACAGCGACGGGTCAGCAGTAGAAGGCGCGAACCCAAGAGCCGCAAGCGTAGTTCTCAGTGTGTCATGCCACTCACGAGGCGCCTGGCGGAGACCGTAGACTGGCCGTCGGAGGCTCCACTGGGTACCAGGAGGGAACGACCCAGTGAAGCCAGGTGGACGGCGCAGCCAGATCTCCTCGTGCAGGCTGCCCTGTAGGAAAGCAGTGCTGAAGTCAAGAGAGTGGAGCTCGTAGTCACGCTGAGCGGCGACGTGCAGCAGAACCCGAAGAGTGGTCATCTTCGGGGTCGGGGAGAAGGTCTGGAAGAAGTCAACTCCCTCCCGCTCACTGAAGCCTCGTGCAACGTAACGCGCCTTGAAGACAGGCGGAGAGCCCGGCGGCCGCTTCACCCTGAAAATCCACATGCCACTGACGATGTTCGCCCCAGGTGGGGGAACCTCGTCAACGTAGGTGCCTGTGGACTTCCAGGAAGCCATCTGTGTGTCCATGGCCGACTGCCACTAAGAGGAGTAGGGACCGGCCATCGCCTCTGCGTAAGAGCGTGGGGTCGGGATGTTTGGTGTATCCGGGTCTCCCTCAGGGGCAACAAGCATGGACACGAGATGGGGCAAAGCGGCAGCAAAGCACTGAAACTCCTCCTGCCTGACCTCAAGGACGTCAGTGCCAAGAGCACACTCACCCCCGACGGACGGAGGACAGACAAACTCAGACTCAGCAACCAGGCTAGCAGCGTAGTCTTGACGACAGGTGGTAGCAAAGTCAACAAGCTCAGCAACTAAGGCAGACGCAGCTGCAGACTCAAAGGAAGGGCCAGTGACAACAGTAGCCAGGAGACGCGTGACAGTAGGATTGGCAGCACGAAGGGAGTCTGACGTAGGGTCAGCAAGAGCAGGAAGAGAGGAAGCAGGAGGAGACGGTAGTGGGACACGCTATGGAGCAGTGGACGGACGAAGCGCCATCCGGTGAGTGCCTGGGACAGTAGGAAGACACTGACGCTGGATACGTCTACCAGAGAGAGCAGTACGGACAGGCGACGCAGGACGAGACTTAGGCTTGCGACGCTCAGTAAGACCTCCAGTCGGACTAGTGTAAGGAGCAGGACTAGGGAGAGAGGAGGCAGACGGTAACTGCGACTGCAACTGGACAGACGGAGGACACGCTAAGGAGGGAGGAGGACAAGGAGGAGGGAGCTGACCAAGAACCTGCTGAAGGAGCGGAACGAAGTACGGCTGGGACCCTGTAGCGACTCCAGAGCCAGCAGGGACACCGGCACCAGGGTCCGCAGCACCAGCAGCAGCGCCAACACCTGGGTCCGCAGCTCCAGTAGCAGCTCCAACACCCAGGTCCACAGCACCAGCAGCAGCTCCAACGCCCGGGTCCTCAGCACCAGCAGCTGCCTCAACACCCGGGTCCGCAGCACCAGGAGCAGCTCCAACGCCCGGGTCCTCAGCACCAGCAGCAGCTCCAAAACCCGGGTCCTCAGCACCAGCAGCAGCACCAGCAACAGCTCCCACGGCAGCGGGGTCCGCAACACGAGGCACGCCACTCCGAAGAGTGCAGCGCCGCTCATACCACTCACGGATCCGCTCACGGGAGGGGAGCTCCCGAACGGGAGGAGAAGCACTAGCACCAGTCCCAGCAGCACGTTCGGCTTGAGCTGCACTTCTCCTGAGGCTTTAGTACTATAAGTACCACTCACGCAGCTGCCCCGAGGAGAGGGCTCCTCCAGGTGTAGGACTCCCAGGCCCAGTACCTCCAGACCCAGAACCCCTAGACTCCGGACTCTGCGGCTCAGCACCCCGAAGCTCAGCACCCCCAAGCTCAGCACCCCCAGGCTCCACACCCCCAAGCTCAGCACCCCCAAGCTCCACACCCCCAGGCTCAGCACCCCCAGGCTCCACACCCCCAGGCTCAGCACCCCCAGGCTCAGCACCCTCAGCAGGACGAGAGTCGACAGCTACCTCAACAGGCTCAACCGGGTCTACCTGAGACACACCTGAGGGAGCGGCACCCTGAGGGGGGAGGGGGTCTGGAACAACAGCACCTGGCGCGAGGAAGAGAGGCGGGGGGGGGAGCGGGGAAGTGCGGTAGGGGAAGAGGCGGTAGTAGGGGACGGACTCGTCAAAAGTGACGTCCTGGGAGGGCAAGACTCGGCGCGAGGTGGCGTGGTAAAACTGCCAACCAGACGCGTCTGGGACAAAGCCGAGGAAGACGCAGGGAACAGCACGGGAGGAGAGCTTGTCCGCAGACGTATCGCGGACAAAAGCTCGAGATCCCCAGACCCGGAAACGCGACGCATCGCAACCCTCCCCCGTCCACAGCAGTGTGGGCGAGGTCTCCGGCAAGGAGACACGGGGCCAGAGGTTGAGCTGATGCGCAGTGTACCGGACCGCAAACGGCCACAGAAAGTGGGGGGCAGCCGCATGGATCAAGGAGGTACGGGCAACCTCCATGACCAGGCCAATGTGGCGCTTCGCAACCCCATTCTGCTGTGGAGAGGCCGGAAGCGTGAACGACTGCTCAATGTCGTGCTCAGCACAGTAGGCTGCCAAGAGGTCGGAGGAGAACTCACCACCTCTGTCAGAGTGCAAGCGCAGGACAGGAAAGTCCAAGTGAAAACGCTCGCTGAGTTGGAGACGGGCTCTGCGGATCCAAGGGATCAAGACATCAGGGACCTCACCCTTGGTGTGCAAGGGGAAGACCGTGGTGTAGCGCGAGTAGTCGTCAACAACTATCAGGAAGTACCTCTCCTGACCCTGACCACGGACGCGGGCTGGGCCCCACACGTCCATGTGGAGCATCTGCAAGGGAGCAGTCGTCAGGGAAAACGAGGAGGAGTGAGGAGCGGCGCGCGGCCGTCCCTCGACACAGGGGAGACAGGTAGGAGCAGGTGAGGGTGGGAGGGGAGGAAGGACCCTGGGCAGGCCAGAGACAAGGTACCGGGAGTGCATGGCACGAAGCAGCGCTGTGCGGCGTGCGGTCGTCCACACTGCTGACCAGTGCGGTCACCAGTGCGAATGACGTACGTGCAGCTAAGACCACCCCCACCCCCGTGCTGAGAGTACCACTCACGGACCTCCTGGGGCGAAGGAGTGTGCTGCTGGCCCTGGCCACCGCTTGCGCCTTCACGGCCACCACCACCGCTGCCACCTCCTCGACCACCCCAACCCCTGCCGCCGCCTCGTCCACCGCCACCCCAACCACCGCCTCCGCCCCTGCCACCTCCCCCGCCGCTGCCACCACCACCCCCACCGCTACCACTCGCCCCTCCAACCGAGCCACCACCCCCACCGCCTCCACCGCCCCCACCGCCGCCTCCCCCGCCGTCACCGCCACCACCCTTGCCCCCTTTGCCCTTGCCACTGCGGCGCCCGCTAGAGGCAGACGCAGCGCCGACCTTCTCAGCACCAAGAAGGTTGACAGCAGCAGTAGAGGCGACAGAGGGAAGAAGGGGGGAAGGAGAACACCCCTCAAAGAACGGGGTACGAGGGTCGCCACGAGAGGCACCTACAGCGACTATGCTAGTCTCGGCTGCCAGTAGCTCCTTCTCAAGGAGGGCAATGGTGAGCTCAGTGGGGCAGCGAGCTAGGAAGTGGTCCCTGACATCACAAAGTGTGTCAGGGAGGCGGGTGACTAGGTGGTAGAGAGTGAGCCAGAGTGGAGGGGGGTGCGTGGCAAGGAACTCAGCAGGCATGGCGGCACGGAAGCGGGCCTCACTAGTACGGAGGTGTGTGATAAGGTCAGCGAGTGTGTGAAAAGAGGCCAGGTCGGGAAACACGTAGGTGAGGGAGAGACGGCCT